GGCGGGCTCAGCAGGGCAGAGACAGCCTGGACAATTCCTATTGGCTTTTGAAAGCCAATAGAATTAGACTCTATTCAAGAGAGTCTATTCTATTAGCTTTCAAAAGCCAATAGAATAAAAGGGAGTAGCACAGCTAAGGAAAAGGGGAAAAAAATGGCGGACTGCGTTGTTTGGCGACCCCCGTGAAATGGTCGTTCGACCCCAGATGGGATCCCGACCCACAGGTTGAGAACCACTGCTGTAGGAAATTTGTTTAATAATAATAATAATAATTGATGTTCCCTGCTTTTCCTATGAAATTGTTAGTGCCATCCAAAGAGAAACGAAAATGGATCTGATTTAGATTGATAACAGATTTCGGTTCTTAAATGGGCTACTAATGCATCTGGGTAGCCTTATTGTGAGAAAAAGGAGGAACAATTGGAATAGAAATACGTTAAAATTACACAAATGGGGTGGTGGTGGTGGTGGTTTTAATCTTCTCCTTAGATTGGGTGTGGTTTTGAAAGTTAAAATCAGTTTGAATTGGGCCTATAATCGGAATGCTCTGAGTTGAAGGTGATCCATTATAGAGGGATTGGCCAACCTCTGAGGGCTATGCAGTTATAAATTGATTGCCTTGTCTAAACTTTATTTTCGTGAAGTATCTGAGATCAGCCTGAGGGATACTAAAATATTGATATATTGCTTTTTTGTGTGTGTGAAAGCACTTTTGGTGTCTTTTCCTTGAATTAAAGCCCTGAGAATTGGCAGGTTCCAGACATCATGGCCCCTGTAAAACTATTGGTGTTAAGCATTTAATTATGGCAACAAAGCATTTTGCATATCGGAGGTCTATTTGTTGACCAGATTGCTTACGTATCTGCATCCGGGGGGGGGGGGGTGAAGAAACCTGGCCTACAGATCTCATCCACACACCAACATTTGTAAGCCCTGGTTGAATGTATGGAAGGCGGAGGAGATACGTTGTCCTCTGTAACCGCAATTATTTTGCTCATTGGCCTATAAAGCACATCCTCATCTCTCCATCCTTGTTCCTTCACATGTTACAGAACATGTGTTTCTAAGTCCACCATCCACAGTGCAATATGGCTAAGTCTTTTTGTAGATGCATCTTTAGTTTAGAGCAGGGGTCCCCAACCCATGGGCCGTGGACCGGTACTGTGCCACAGCATGCCTGCAACCGGTCCGCACAAACAAGCAAAGCCCCATCCGTGGGATGCAGGCAGCACACAAATCCACGAACTCTCCGGTCCGTGGAAAAACCTTTCTCCACGGAACCGGTCCCTGGTGCCCAAAAGGTTGGGGACCTCTGGTTGAAAGAGAAACCACGGGTGTTTTTTTTAAAAAAAAAATGGAGATGAGCCGAGGTGGCGCAGCAGTTAGAGTGCAGCACTGCAGGCCACTTTAGCTGACTGTGTTCAGCAGGTCAGCGGTTCAAATCTCACCGTCTCAAGGTTGACTCAGCCTTCCATCCTTCCGGGGTAGGTAAAATGAGGACCCAGATTGTTGGGGGCAATGTAAATATATATATACATTGCTTACTGGTGTACACCGCTTAGAGAGTGCTTGCACTTAAAGCGGTATATAAGTCTCATAAATAAATAAATCCATCGTACAACATAACTGAATCAGAATAACAGACTCAGAAGACAATAATAATAATAGACTTTGGAGGTATGGGGTCGAACCTCTTCTGCTCCAGCAGGAGACCCTATACCATTTCACATAAATGGCTGTCCAGTCTCTTCTTAAAAACCTCCAGTGTTGGAGCATTCACAACTTCTGGAGGGAAGTCGTTCTATTGCTTAATCGTTCTCACAGTCAGGAAATTTCTCCTTAGTTCCAGGTTGCTTCTCTCCTTGATGAGTTTCCATCCGTTGCTTCTTGTTCTGCCTTCAGGCGCTTTGGAGAATAGCCTGACTCCCTCTTCTTGGGGGCAGCCCCTGAGATACTGGAACACAGCTATCATGTCCCCCCTCATTCTCCTCTTCAAGGGACCCTGGAGGTCATCTAGTCCAACCCCCTGCTCAGGCAGGAAACCCTATACCATTTCAGACAAATGGCTGTCCAGTCTCTTTTTAAAAATCTCCAGTGTTGGAGCACTCACCGTTCCTGGAGGCAGGTGGTTCCACTGGTTAATTGTTCTAACTGTCAGGAAGTTTCTCCGTAGTTCTAGGTTGCTTCTCTCCTTGATGAGTTACCATCCGTTGCTTCTTGTCCTGCCTTCAGGAGCTTTGGAGAATAGCTTGACTCCCTCTTCTTTGGGGCAGCCCCTCAAATACTGGAACACTGCTATCCTGTCCCCCCTCATCCTTCTCTTCATTAAACTAGACATATCCAATTCTAGCAACCCTTCCTTATATGTTTTAGCCTCCAGTCCCCTGATCATCTTTGTTGCTCTTCTCTGCACTCTTTCTAGAGTCTCAACATCTTTTTTACATCGTGCATTCCAAGTGTGGCCTCACCAAAGAAGTATAAAGCAGTACTAACACTTCATGTGACCTCTCCCAAGGGAAGGATTTTTTTCAGACACATAGTCACTGAAGGATAATTTCCTTTTTCTAATTTTAGTGTTGTATCTATTTTTTATTTTTAAATTTAGATGAAATGAACCAAGGATTTCCCAGCTGAGGATGATGACTTTGTTTGCATCTTGGGAACTGACTGTAGAGAAGAATTTTCGTTGGTCTTGTTCCATGAGGAAGTTTAGAAATAGCCAGCCTTTTTGTGTGTGTGCGCGCAGAGTAATGTTGAGGTAAACAAGATTGTGGATCATTTGGAGCCAATGAGAGGAACTGTGAATGAAGCCTGCATAGAAAGAAGTTGTCTGAAACAATATATTTCACCAGTTACACTTCATTGCTTGCAGATGGTCACCTTTTGGCCTGGCGTTCAGCGAAATTGTCTCAGCAATATACAGACCAAATCATTTGGGATAGATCAGATTGACTAGTTTATGTCTCTGAGATGGTTGTTTTTTCAGTAAAGTGGACTGTCTTTCTGTTAAGACCTGCATTTTTAAAAACTTCTGTACATTTAAAATTCGTGACAAACCAACATGCTGTTGGTCATAACATGATAAGAGAAGATGCTTGTACAGGAAACATTATGATCCTGGCTTTAATGCTCCTGATGCTTGAAAAACACACAGTCGGTTAATGCAGTAGGCAAAATGCAGTGGTGGGATTTAGCCGCTTCGCACCACTTTGGCAGAACCGGTCGCTAATTTTTTTGTCGCCCAGGCCCAGAACGGACTTCCGGAAGCGGCATCCACACAGAGAACCGGTGGTTCTCAGATTTGAATCCCACCATTGGCAAGTTTCAATAGTAGCAAAGGAGTGGTGTCAGGGAAAGCTGCAGTGGAGACATGCTTAAAGTTGTAATATTTGAATTACAAATTGATTTTGTGAAAGAACAGTAGTAGTAAGATTTTTTTTTTTTTAATCTCAAACGTGAGGGCTTGGTTCAGGTAATTTATATTATTGGCAGGAGGCTGCAGGTAAACCAGAGGAAGTCTTAAAAACAATAATTTATACTATGGAATGATTTGCTGATGGATAGATAGATAGATAGATAGATAGATAGATAGATAGATAGATAGATAGATAGATAGACAGACAGACAGACAGACAGACAGACAGACAGACAGACAGACAGACAGACAGTGTATGGATGGTAAGTAGGTAGGTAGATAGACAGACAGACAGATAGGTGATGGATGGTAGGTAGGTGGATAGATAGATAGATAGATAGATGGTGGATGGTAGGTAGGTAGGTAGATAGAGATGGATAGATGATGGAAGGTAGGTAGGTGGATGGATGGATAGATAGATAGATAGATAGATAGATAGATAGATAGATAGATAGATAGATAATGGATGGTTGGTTAGTAGGTAGGTAGGTAGGTAGGTAGGTAGGTAGGTAGGTAGATAGATAGATAGATAGATAGATAGATAGATAGATAGATAGATAGATAGATAATGGATGGTTGGTAGGTAGGTAGGTGGATAGATAGATAGATAGATAGATAGATAGATAGATAGATAGATAGATAATGGATGGTTGGTTAGTAGGTAGATAGGTAGATAGATAGATTAGATAGATAGATAGATAGATAGATAGATAGATAGATAGATAGATAGATAGATAGATAATGGATGGTTGGTTAGTAGATAGGTAGGTAGGTAGATAGATAGATAGATAGATAGATAGATAGATAGATAGATAGATAGATAATGGATGGATGGATGGTAGGTAGCTAGCTAGCTAGATAATGGATGTTAAGTAGGTAGGGGTGGGTAGGTAGGTAGGTAGATAGATAGATAGATAGATAGATAGATAGATAGATAGATAGATAGATAGATAGATAGATAGATAGATAGATATTGATTTATATCTCACCTTTATTATTGTAATAAATAAGGTGGGGAGCTTACACAGTACTCTTTCCTCCTCCTATTTTCCCCATAACAACCCTATGAGCTGGGCTGTGTTGAGAGTGAGTCACTGGCTCAAAGTCACCCAGCATTTTTTCCTGCCTAAGGAAGTCTAGAACTCACAATCTCCTGGCTTCTAGCTTGATGCCTTTTAGCCCAAGGGTCTTCAGACTTGGCCACTAAGACTTTGTGGACTTCAACTCCCAGAATTCCTCAGCCAGGAATTCTGGGAGTTGAAGTCCACAAGTCTTAAAGTGGCCGAGTTTGCAGACCCCTGCCTTAGCCATTAGACCAAACTCTAATAATAATCGGCATGCACTTTCAAACAAATGATGAGATATCTTCCAAGGGATCATTTCTATTAGGGGCTGGGAATTCTTAATTCCTTATTTTTCCCTCCCTGAGTTGATTGGCACTTTTGAGGCTCAGAATTGTGCAGCTCAGTGTTTTAGCTGCCCAGCTTCAGCCATCCTCCACAAAGGTTTGCTTCGAATAATGCTTCAGTCCTGTCGTTTGGCCCGCTGAGGTATGTTGAATTGTGTCCTGTGTGTTTCTCTGCAGGCTCCACCGGGCGCAATGTGCAATTAAGCAGACTCAGGTAACCGTTCAGAAAATAGGAAGGGAGATTGAAGAGAAACTGAGGCTTACCTCTACAAGCAACGAGCTGGTATGCTTTTTTTTCCCCCTCCCCCTTAACTGGTGTGTGTATGTGTGTGTGTGTGTGTGTGTGTATATTTGTCTTGGACAAGTGTTGTAAAAACATTAGGGAATGAATACCGGCTTGTGCAAATGGAGTTCCTGAGGGAGGGGGGGTATTTTATTAGAGAAAGATGGATAAGCGCAAAGCTTTAATGCAAGCCTTCTTACCCCTTCCTGTGATTAAACCTTAGATTCTTTTACAAGTTGGGCAGGCAGAGATTCCAGAGTTTGTCTCTGGAATCCCAGACCACCAGTATAGTTTTTAAGGAGCGGGGTCCAGATAATTCCTGGCTTAACAACTATTCGTTTAGTGGCTGTTTGAAATTGCAACAACACCGGAAAAAGTGACTGATGATCATTTTTCACTCTTATGACTGTTTGCAGTATCTTCTCCCCCCCCCCCCGTGGTGACATGATCAAAATTTGGGTGCTTGGCAAAGGGCATGTATTTATGAAATTGTAGAGTCCTGGGGATCATGAGATCATTGTTAGTAACCTTCCCAGCTGGCATCTGACAAGCAAAGTCACCATTCACTTAACCGACGGCAGTGATTTGCTTAACCTAGGTCAGGGGTAGGCAACCTTGGCTCTTTTATGACTGGTGGACTTCAACTCCCAGAATTCCTGAGCCAATATGGGGGAAACTTTGGCCCCAGCATGGGGGAACTATGGCCCCTTCATGACTTGGGGACTTCAACTTCCAGAATTCCTCAGTCAGCATGGGGGAACTATGGGCCCCTCATGACCTGTGGACTTCAACTCCCAGAATTCCTGAGCCAGCATGGCTCAACTTGGAAACTCTCCCTTTCCCCTCAGCATGGCTGGCTGAGGAATTCTGGGAGTTGAAGTCCATACGTCATGAAGGGGCCATAGTTCCCCCCTGATGGCTCAGGAATTCTGGGAGTTGAAATCCATGAGTCATGAAGGGGCCATAGTTCCCCCCTGCTGGCTCAGGAATTCTGGGAGTTGAAGTCCACCAGTCATGAAGGGGCCATAGTTCCCCCCTGCTGGCTCAGGAATTCTGGGAGTTGAAGTCCACCAGTCATAAAAGAGCCAAGGTTGCCTACCCTTGACCTAGGGGAAGGAAAAAGGTCACAAAATGGGGCAAAACTCACTTAACAACTGTCTTGCTCAGCACTGGGAATTTGGGGCCTCAGTTGTGCTTGTAAGTCGAGGACTTACCCCTAGGAGGTCATTTAAGTTTCCTGATTTGAACGCTTCAAATGTAAAAATTTCCAAACAAATTCAAGCAATGTTTACGTGAAAATGAAGGGCCATGTACATTGTCGAAGCCTCTGGTGTAGGTTTGTGGCTTAGGACCTTTCTCTCTCTCTTTTTTTTTTTTAAACTGATGGAGAGAATTTTTGGAAGGACGAAATGCAATATAGAATTTTATTCCGTTTTCCCTCCACTTCCGTCATGATCGGCTTCACGTGTAAGAGGACTCTTTCGGCTGTCGGTATGGAGTAATCAAAGTTACAAACATTTCTCCAGCATTCTCCCTCGTGCCTGTAACACAAGCTCTCATTTTTATTATTATTATTATTATTATTATGAAATGAAAATATGTATCTGGAAAGTCCAACGGCTTAATATATTAGATTAAGCCTAGGGGGAAAATGAATTAATAGCTCTCCTAATGCTCTCCAGTTACAAAGCATCTGTGTTGGCTGTGTGGTGAGGGAGAGAGTTGCCAGGGAAAGCAACCTCAGTGCAAATAGAGATTAATGAATTACCAATTGAAAGAGTGGTGAACCTTGTAACCAGCTCGGCCGGGTGATGCTCCAAGGTTTTGAGGACGAGTAACGGGAGGAACAGATGTCATTTTGGGTGCCGGGACGTGCATTTTACCGGCCGGCTTAGGACCCATGCATTATGGCTTTGGAAGAAGGCCTTTGGACCCATGCATTATGGCTTTGGAAGAAGGCCTTTGGACCCATGCATTATGGCTTTGGAAGAAGGCCTTTGGAAGAAGCTGTGGAACCAGCTAAAATCAAAGGGCTACCCCTTAGATCAGTGGTTCTCAACCTTTTTAATGCCGCGACCCCCCCCCAGCAGTCGTAAGTCGAGGACTGCTCAACCCGTCGTAAGTCGAGGACTAAACTGGTGCAGCACCATTTGCAGAATGGGGCTTTTGGTGGCTCAGCAGGGCAGAGACAGCCTGGACAATTCCTATTGGCTTTTGAAAGCCAATAGAATCAGACTCTATTCAAGAGAGTCTATTCCAGTGGTTCTCAACCTTTTTAATGCCGCGACCCCCAACCGCTCGTAAGTCGAGGACTGCTCAACTGGTTGTAAGTCGAGGACTAAACTGGTGCAGCACCATTTGCAGAATGGGACTTTTGGCAGGCTCAGCAGGGCAGAGACAGCCTGGACAATTCCTATTGGCTTTTGAAAGCCAATAGAATTAGACTCTATTCAAGAGAGTCTATTTATTGGCTTTCAAAAGCCAATAGAATAAAAGGGAGTAGCACAGCTAAGGAAAAGGGGGAAAATGGCGGACTGCGTTGTTTGGCGACCCCCGTGAAATGGTCGTTCGACCCCAAATGGGGTCCCCACCCACAGGTTGAGAACCGCTGCCTTAGACTGAAACAGGAACCGTTCTAACAAAAGAACAGAAGACCCTCTAGTCTCCAGCCCCCTGCTCAGGCAGGAAACCTTAGGCCTGTGGTCCGCAGAACCCTGGGTGGGGGCGCAGTGTCATCACAGGATGTCCCCAAAGGCTTCAAGAAATGTTAATGGTTTAAATCAGGGGTCCCGAACCCCCGGTCTGTGGACCAATACCTAAGTCCACAAGTCGTGAAGGGGCCATCATTCCCCCATGCTGGCTCAGGAATTCTGGGAGAAGAAACGAAAACTTTGGAGTCGATGCCGGTTGAAGAATGTTGGCGTCAATCCACCGTCTCCCCCCCCCCCCCCAGCCAGAGGATTACCCCATTGTTTGGTCGCCTTTCCCAGGATTCACTAATCTGTTCAGGACATCAATGTCTTGGTTCAGAAGCAGCGTCCAAACCTTGTTTTCGGGTTGGCTGGTGGCCTAGAAACAGGCCATAGCTGCTGTTCTTTCCTCGAAGGCCATACAACAAACACACAAACAACCTAACCAAAACTGGCGTTCAGGAACACTTTGCAACGTGCAAAATTGAGCATCCTCGGCTAATTAAACCCGCATGGCTCCCACCGTGATGGAAGTTCTGGAAGCTGTTAAAGTCCTGGCTATTCTCCCAGTCTTTGGGGCAGGGCGATGGTGGAACACAGACACACACACACACACACACACACACACACACACCGCTGGATGGGGGGGTGCTGGGGTTGGGGTGGTTTCCTATGTTCGCTTTCAAGCCACTTACAATTTCTTTTTTCGCTCCTTTTGTTTTTATTTCTTTCATAATTGTGAGCCACCCAGAGTCATTGGGAGTCAGGAGGGCTATAAATTCAACCAATAAGTCCAGAAATAATTTGTGAGCTGTTTGTACTGGAAATTTGTCTTTCTCTGAAGTAATTAAAAAGACAGAACGATAGTTTTTTTTCAAAGGGGGGGGGGAAAAACGTGCTTTGCGAAACTCCATTTTTTTTTCCTACTAAAATGAAAATGGAAGCACAGGCAGTCCTCGACTTACGGCCACAATTGAGCCCCAGACCTCTGCTGTTAAGCGAGACATTTGTTAAGTGAGTTTTGCCCCTGTTTTACGACCTTTCTTGCTACAGTTGTTAAGTGAACCACTGCAGTTCAGTTAGTAACACGGCTGTTAACGGAATCTGGTTTCCCCATTGATTTTGTTTGCCAGAAGGATGCAAAACGGGATCATGTAATCCCGGGACGCTGCAATCGTCATGAGTACGAGTCAGTTTCCAGAGTCTCTTGTGTTTTGATCCCGTGACTGTGCTACAAAGGTCCCACGTGTGAAAAATGGTCCTAAGTCCCTTTTTTTCAGTGCCATTGTCACTTCGAACGGCCACTGAATGAACTGTTGTAAGTTGAGGATTACTTGTGTAGATGTCACTGTGGGTGATTTTGCATGAAAGATGGCTGGTGTGATGGCGTTGAGTTTCCGGCTTGCAAAGGTATGTGGTGCAATAACTTGAGTTTTAGTCTTAGGGCGGTGAATTGTCAGTTATTTTCTTGCGGACATTTCATGACCCAACTAGGTGACATCATCAGTGCTAGGAGGGAATGGGTTTTGTTCTCTGTTTACATGGAAATGTTTAAATATCTTGAATATAAACAGAGAGCAAACCCCACTCCCTTCTAGCACTGAAGATGTTGCCTAGTCAATCAGGATAGAGCTGGAAGGGACCTTGGAGGTCTTCTAGTCCAACCTCCGGCTCAAGCAGGAGACCCTAGACCAGGGGTAGGCAACCTTAGCTCTTTTATGACTCATGGACTTCAACTCCCAGAATTCCTGAGCCAACATGGGGGAACTATGGCCCCTTCATGACTCGTGGACTTCAACTCCCAGAATTCCTGTGCCAGCATGAGAGAACTATGACCCCCTCATGAGTTGTGGACTTCAACTCCCAGAATTCCTCAGCCAGTATAGCTCAGCTTGGAAACCTCTCCCTTTCCCCTCAGCAGGGCTGGCTGAGGAATTCTGGGAGTTGAAGTCCGCAAGTCATGAAGAGGCCATAGTTCCCCTATGCTGGCTCAGGAATTCTGGGAGTTGAAGTCCGCAAGTCATGAAGAGGCCATAGTTCCCCTATGCTGGCTCAGGAATTCTGGGAGTTGAAGTCCGCGAGTCATGAAGGGGCCATAGTTCCCCCATGCTGGCTCAGGAATTCTGGGAGTTGAAGTCCCCAAGTCATGAAGGGGCCATAGTTCCCCCATGCTGGCTCAGGAATTCTGGGAGTTGAAGTCCACGAGTCATAAAATAGCCAGGGTTGCCTACCCCTCCCCTAGGCCATTCCAGACAAGTGGCCGTCCAGTCTCATCTTAAAACGCCCACAATTTCTGGAGGCCAGCTGTTCCACTGGTTAATTATCCTCACAGTCAGGAAGTTTCTCCTTAATTCCACATTGCTTCTCTCCTTGATTAGTTCCCACCCGTTACTTCTTGTCCTGCCTTCTGGTGCCTTGGAGAACAGGCGGACCCCCCTCTTCTTTGTGGCAGCCCCTCAAATAGTGGACTGCTGCAATCATGTCCCCTCCAGTCCTTGTTTTCTCTAGACAAGTCAAACTCAAACCCTTCAACCATCAGGTAAGGAAACACCTGCAAGAAAGCAACCAAGCTCAGAGAGCACAAAGAACCCCAGAATTGTCGTCATCCTCCTCCTCCTCCTCCTCCTCCTTGCAAACCCATCCCTTCTAACATTGATGATGTTACTTAGCTGGGTAACGAAACATTTGGAAGAAAACAGCCAAGCTCAGAGAGTACCAAGGACCCTATTGTTGTGGTTTTCTTCCTCCTCCTCCTCCTCCTCCTCCTCCTCCTTTTTAGCACTGTTACCTATTTGGGTCATGAAACATCTGCAAGAAAACAGCCAAGCTCAGCCAGCACCCAGGACCCCACAGTTCAAATGTTCTGTTCAGTTGGTAACCTCTTCAGGGAGGGCTATAATCTGGTTTTCCACTGAAATGTATAGCATTCAACAGGTAGCATTTCTCCCAGAAGTGTCTACATCAGGGGTGTCAAAGTCAATTTCATTGAGGGCCTCATCAGCATTGCGGTTGCCCTCAGGGGGGCGGGGGGCGGCCTACTGGGTGGGCGTGGATGGAGTGGGTTTGGTCTACTGGGTGGGCGTGGCCAGCTCTACATCATTCGCATCAAGGGTGCCTGGGGGGGGGGTCTGGGCAGGAGTGGGACAGATCTGAGGGTCTCTGGCAGAAGGGGGTGGGACGAGGTAGAGCCCATCAAGCCGGATAGGTGACATAGGCGAGGGCCATTTGCTGGCCACTTCCAGGCGATGGTCCATTTCTTCATTCCTCACAAAGGGGGACACCTCCCCAGCATGCACCCAGGGGGCGGGGCCGACACGGCAGGGGCTGGTTCCTCGCTGTTTCCGGACGGCCTTGTGAAACTAAGACTGAATGTGTTTCAGCATAGATGGCCATCACAAAATTGTACATTGGCTCCCGGCCGGCCTGAGCCAGGGCCAAGGCAGCGAGGGCCGTTCCCTCACTGTTTCCAGGATGGCTTCATGGGCCACATGAAACCACTTTGCAGGCCTTTGTTTGACATGTCTGATCTAATCTATTCATTATCTCTATCTATCTATCTATCTATCTATCTATCTATCTATCTATCTATCTATCTATCATCTAATCTATTCATTATCTGTCTTGTTTATATCTAATCATTCATATATCTAATCTGTCTGTCTGTCTGCCTATCTATCTATCTATCTATCATCTATCTATGTATCTATCATCTACCTATCATCTAATATATTCATTATCTCTCTATCATCTAATCCAGGGGTGTCAAACTCAGTTTCATTGAGGGTCGCATTAGCATTGTGGTTGCCCTTGGGGGGCTGGGGTGTGTATCCAGGGTGGGTGCAGCCTACTGGGTGGGCGTGGATGGAGTGGGTGTGGCCTACTGGGTGGGTGTGGTCAGCTCTACATCGTTCGCGTCAAGGGTGCCTGTGGGGGCCTGGGCAGGAGTGGGACAGATCTGGGGGTCTCTGGCAGAAGGGGGCGGGACCGGGGCAAGCGCCAAGGCATGGTCCATTTCTGCATTTCTCACAAAGAGTGATACCTCCCCACCATGCACCCAGGGGGAGGGGCCAACGTGGCAGGGGCTGGTTCCTCGCTGTTTCCAGATGGCCTTGTGGAGCTAAGACTGAATGCGTTGCAGCATAGATGGCCACCACAAAATTGTACATTGGCTCCCAGCCGGCCTGAGCCAGGGGCAAGGCAGCAGGGGCCGTTCCTTCACTGTTTCCAGGATGGCTTCACAGGCCACATGAAACCACTTTGCGGGCCGCATCCGGCCCCCGGGCCTTGTGTTTGACATGTCTGCTCTACGTATATGCTAAGCGATCTTCGTTTTGTTTGACTGTTGTTATTTTTTTTTTACAGAAAAAAAAGAGTGAGTGTTTACAGCTGAAGATCCTGGTGCTTCAGAATGAGCTCGAGAGGCAGAGGAGAGCCCTCGGCCGGGAAGTGGCCTTGTTGCATAAGGAACACAGCTCGCTGCTTGAAAGAGGTGAGTGCAAAGGAGACCAGCTTTCTTGTCCCCCTACCAAGGAACGATGCGTTGTTTGAGAGCAGGTTGCTCCTGGAAAAAAAAAAAGAGAGAGAGAGAGAGAAAATTTGGCAGGCTTTGGTTCTTTATTACTGACTTCCTTATGTACCTGGTGGCTTGCTAAGATGGTTAGCCAGACATCTTTAATGGTGCTACTGTAGGTCAGGAGTGTCCAACCTTGGCAACTGTAAAACTTGTAGATTAACTCTCAGAATTCCCCGAGGTCCGGCTGTATTAGAATACAGCTGGAAGGGACCTTGAAGATCTTCTAGTCCAGCCCTCTGCTCAAGCAGCAGAACCTATATCGTCTCAGACAAGTGGCTGCCCAGTCTCTTCTTAAAAACCTCCAGTGATGGAGCGCCCACGATTTCTGGTGGCAAGCTGTTCCACTGATTAATTCTCCTCACTGTCAGGAACTTTCTCCTTAATTCCAGGTTGCTTCTCCCTTTGGTCAGTTTCCAACCATTGTTTCTTGTCCTTCCCTCTGGTTCTCTGGTGAACAACCTGACCCCCTCTTCCTTGTGGCAGCGCCTCAAATGCTGGAAGACTGCTATCATGTCCCCCCCAGTCCTTTTCTCTAGACTGGCCATTCCCAAATCCAGCAATCGTTCTTCACATGTTTTTGTGTCCAAACCCTTAACCATCTTACTTGAAGTCCACAAGTCTTCCTCATCTTGGTTGAAGATGATTAAGAAGATTAAGATGATTAGTTGAAGTCTACAACTCTTAAAAGTTGCCAAGGTTGGATACCCTTGCCATAGGTCATGAGATTAGAAGTTTCCTCCCTCAAGCCAACCTGGTGGTTCAAAGTTGCCAAGGCCTTAATCCCAGATCTTCTCCCAATATCTCCCGTTGCTTCATGAAGTCTGAAGAAGACAGCCCAAACTATAATTTCTATAGTAAAATGCATTTACAGGTAGATAGCCTTACAACGATTTGTTTGGTGACTGTTCAAAGTTAACAACGACACTGAAAAAAGTGACTTGTGACTCATCCTCGCACTTATGACTGGGGGGAAGTTGCGACATCTCCACAGTGACATGATGAAAATTTGGGCATGTATAACAGTAATCACCATCTGCCAGTTTAGCGGTTAGCCAATCTAGTGGTTAAGGCAGGGGTCCTCAACCTATGGTCCACGGCCCAGGATCGGGCCGAGGGCTCTTGGCCAGCCGGCCACAGAAAAGGCTGGCTGGTGTACGCACATGTGGGCACGCATTTCCTGCCCGCTACCACCCACGTTTACGCAGGTGTGAACAGGGATGCTAGCGCGGGGTGCGTGTCTGCAGCCTTTTGCTCATGTGCAAACGGGCTGCTAGCCGCCATGGAGATGTGCTGCCATTCGCGCATGTGCATGGCGCCAGCGCCTGCACAAACGAGCTGCTAGTGCTGCGCCAGTGTGCATGACCCTGTGCACGCACACACACACACACACACACACACACACCAATTTTGAAGCTGCTCTCCTTCCCTCCAGTTCTTGAGCCCGGAAAGGTTGGAGACCTCTGGGTTAAGGCGCCAAGCTGGAAACTAGGAAACTGTGAGTTCTAGCACTGCCTTAGCTATGAAAGCCAACTAGGTGATCTTAGGTCTGTCACTCTCAGTTCAATCCCCACCTCACAGGGTGCGGGCCGTTGTGGGGAAAATTAGGAGGTGGAAGGTGTGTTAGATATGTTTGGTGCCTTAAGTTATTTGTAAAAATAAAAGAAGCGGGATACAAATGAAATGAATTTTTAAAAAAATGTGACTTTCCCAGCCAGCTTCAGAGAAGCAAAGTAAATAAGGGAAGCTGGATTCTCTTAACCGCATGATTCAAATATGGCAAAAAAAAAAAAAGTGGTAAAATTGGGCATGGCTCAACTTAACTAGACAGCATACTAAAAAGCAGAGACAACACCCTGCCAACAAAAGTGCGTATAGTCAAGCCATGGTTTTCCCAGTTGCAATGTAAGGCTGTGAAAGTTGGACTGAGTGCCAAAAGAATGGAGGCCTTTGAACTCTGGTGTTGGAGAAGACTCCTGCGAGTCCCCTGGACTGCAAGGCGATCCAACCGGTCAGTCCTAGAGGAGATCAACCCCGACTGCTCTTGAGAAGGCCAGATCCTGAAGTGGAAACTCAAGTACTTTGGCCACCTAATGAGAAGGAAGGACTCACTGGAGAAGAGCCTGATGCTGGGAAAGATGGAGGGCAAAAGAAGAAGGGGACGACAGAGAAGGAGGTGGCTGGATGGAGTCCCTGAAGCAGGAGGCGTGAGCTTCAATGGACTCCAGAAGATGGTAGAGGACAGGAAGGCCTGGAGGAACGTGGTCCATGGGGTCGCGATGGGTCGGACACCACTTCACAACAACAACAACTTCACCACCATCTTACTTAGTAACAGAAATTCTGATTGCAGTGGTGGCCATAAGTTGGGGACAACCTAGAACAGGAGTAGGCAACCGTGGCTCTTTTATGACTCGTGGACTTCAACTCCCAGAATTCCTCAGCCAGCATGGCTCAGCTTGGAAACCTCTCTCTTTCCCCTCAGCGGAGCTGGCTCAGGAATTCTGGGAGTTGAAGTCCACGAGTCATGAAGGGGCCATAGTTCCCCCATGCTGGCTCAGGAATTCTGGGAGTTGAAGTCCACCAGTCATAAAAGAACCAAGGTTGCCTACCCCTGACCTATAATGAGTGAAACACCAGTGAATAGCAAAATCCTGTCTTCGTGACTAGACCCCTTCCTTAAAATGTAACAGTAGGAATGACATGCCTGTACTCAATTTTGAAACAAAAAAGAGAATAACAATCTGGGGGGGGGGGGGGAAATGATATAAAAATAGCTCTTACAAACACAACCCAAATGCTTCCAAATCCATTCCTTTGCCAAGCAAAGCTGCTTCGGAGGTTGACAGATAACACAGCCGTCGGTTGCTATGTATCAAATGTGGAGTTATCCTTCCAAGGCTTTAGGCCATCTCTTATGTGTGAAAAGTTCACCCTTTCTGACGTGTTGAAATATTCCTAATCCTGAGAATAAAGCCAAGAAGAACATACACGCCCTTAATAGGGGGGTGATCAGTCCAAAAATCATGTTAAAACTCTCTGAGACTTCAGGGCCAGAATGTGAACTGGGAATCCCAGAGCACATGAGCGAATAACACCTCTTCTGGAAAGATATTTTCAAGAACGGAACAATTGCAACCAGCCCTTGTTCAAAATTCTCTAAAATGTCCAGTTTAGTTGAAACCAGAAAAACCTTCCCCATATCTTACTTTGCGATCAGAGGAGACTAATTTAATATTCTGCAAATTAACTCTCCTCTGGTTTAGCAGAATAGGACATGAATGTCGCATTCCAAAGGTGTATAAATCATAAACATTCTTTTTATCTGCTTGCTTCAATTTCCTATGAAATGACTGTGCTGCTTTAAGAATCTCTGTTCGTTTCTTCAAAAGCTCTAGCACCGTGGTGGCGAACCTATAGCACGGGTGCCAGAGGCGGCACTCAGAGCCCTCTCTATTGGCACGCGCGCCGTCGCCCCAGGCCTTCAGCTGGGTTTTATAAAACCTTTTCGCTTTAGGCCTGCGCTGCCTTGTGCAAAAAAAAAAAGGTTCAATCGATCAGTCAATTTCAACTTCTCGCGGGGGAAAAAAAGATCTCGCAAAGTTGGAATTGATGGATTGAACTTTTTAGTCCCACCCAGTCTGCCGTTACCACTGCAGCCACGCCCACCCAATGGGCCACACCCACCCGGCACCCGACGATGCATAAGTGGGGTTTGGGTTGCAGTTTGGGCACTCGGTCTCTAAAAGGTTCGCCATCACTGCTCTAGCAGATGCGGGACTGAAGACTGCTTAAATTGAATAAACTACCAAGGAACATTGAGAACTGCACTTCAGCTGAATTGATCCACAGTAATAATGTTAGGAGAGGCTAGTTAGCCCAAATTCAGGTAGTCCTCGACTTAACAACGGTTCATGTAGTGACCGTTCAAAGTTGCAACGCACTGAACAAAGTGACTTATGACCTTTTTCATGCAACTGTTGCGGCATCCTCATGGTCATGGCGTCAAAATTCTGGTGCTTGGCAATTGGTTCATATTTATGATGGCTGCAGTTCATATTTATGATGGCTGCAGTTGCTTCATGTTTATGACGGCTGGGGTCACGTGATTTCCTTTTGCGACCTTCTGACCAGCAACGTCCACGGGGGAGCCAGAGTCACTTAACAGCCATGTGGCTAACTTAACAAATGCAATGATTGAGTTAACAACTGTGGCAAGAAAAGTCGTAAACTGGGGCAAACTCACTTAACAAATGTTTCACTTAGCAACATAAATCTTGGGCTCAATTGTGGTCATAACTCAAGGACTGCCTGTAATTGGTTTACTCTGCAGCTTTTATCCTAGATCCCGAGGTTCAGATCCTCGCCGAACAATGTTGCTATGCTGTCTCTTAAGTTCTCAAGTTGATTTATGTATTTGATTTCTATAGCCACCCATCTCAACAAGCAACTCTGGGTCGCTTTCATAAGACGTAAAAGCAAAGCACCAATAAAGAAGAATATTTGCAGCTCAGGGTTGAAACGAGGGGTCCTTGGTGCTCTCTGAGCTTGGTGGTTTTCTTGCAGACATTTCATGACCCAGCTAGGTAACGTCATCAGTGCTAGGGCTAGACTAGCCCAAGTGAAACGTCTGCAAGCAAACAGCCAAGCTCGGAGAGCACCAGGGACCCCTCAGAAACAAAACAATTAAGACTGTACAAAATAAATATTTGTCAGAGCATGCACAATCTTATTGCGCTGATGTAACCCAGGAGTAAATATAGTAAACAGTGGTTTGTAATTAAATGATGGTTTACATTAGGAGAGGAGAGAAGCAACCTAGAACTAAGGAGAAACTTCCTGATAGTTAGAACAATTAATCTGTGGAACTACCTGCCTCCAGAAGCAGTAAATGCTCCAACACTGGAAGTTTTTAAGAAGAGACTGGACAGCCATTTGTCTGAAATGGTGTAGGGCTTCCTGCCTGAGCAGGGGGTTGGGCTAGATGACCTCCAAGATCCCTTCCAACTTTACTACTATTACTATTACTATTACACTATATCTAGAAAGATACACTAGAAATAAAATACATACACATGGTGAAACAGCAAACTCCAATACACAGCAATTACAGCAATCAAACTGACCAGTGAGAGAAAGACTCCAGCAAAAAACTTCCCTTTTATACTCAGACTCTTAAAGGGATACACACACCTGCTGAGTCATTCCTATTATTGCATCATCTACATTACATCTTTACATAAGCTATTTAGCTATTAAATTATTATGCTGACAGTATTTCTGGCACCAAGAAGAGCTATTACTATGGATGTTAATACAGCCAGGAAACAGACCTTAACACAGGGGTCTCTAACCCCTGGGCTACAGACCAGTACCGGTCCATGACCGGTTGAGAACAAGACCACGCAAGCGGCGGGCAAGCTTGCAAAAAAAAAATGCTTTTTTTTGCGCATGTGTGGGATTAGGTTGAACATGCAAACCCATCCCCTCCCTCTCTCCCTGCCACAGCCATGTGTCGCCGCCAATCATGCAGCCAAAGAAGTTGGGGACCGCTGCCTTAGCACACTCAGGGCCCCTGATCTGACTGCACAAGCGAGTTTTCACAGCCTTGTGAAAGACCAATGGGGTCATCTTGATATATAAAGGGAGAATATTCTAGAGCAGGGGTGGGAAATGATGGCCCTTTTATGACTCGTGGACTTCAACTCCCAGAATTCCTGAGCCAGCATGGAGGAACTGTGGCCCCTTCATGACTCACGGACTTCAACTCCCAGAATTCCTCAGCCAACATAGGGGAATTATGGCCCCTTCATGACTTGCGGACTTCAACTCCCAGAATTCCTCAGTCAGCATGGGGGAACTGTGGCCCCTTCATGACTCGCGGACTTCAACTCCCAGAATTCCTGAGCCAGCATGGGGAAACTGTGGCCCCTTCATGACTCACGGACTTCAACTCCCAGAATTCCTCAGCCAACATAGGGGAATTATGGCCCCTTCATGACTTGTGGACTTCAACTCCCAGAATTCCTGAGTCAGCATGGGGGAACTTTGGCCCCTTCATGACTCATGGACTTCAACTCCCAGAATTCCTGAGCCAGCATGGGGGAACTATGGCCCCTTCATGACTTGCGGACTTCAACTCCCAGAATTCCTGAGCCAGCATGGGGGAACTGTGGCCCCTTCATGACTTGCGGACTTCAACTCCCAGAATTCCTGAGTCAGCATGGGGGAAACTATCTCTCCTATATGACTTGTGGACTTCAACTCCCAGCCATGCTGGCTCAGGAATTCTGGGAGTTGAAGTCCATAAGTCATAAAAGAGCCATCATTTCCCCACCTCTGTTCTGGAGGACAAGGGCTATAGCAGAATAGGCCTGTCTTATTGGAGGATTAGAGATTTGGCACCAGATAATACCGGAGAATGATCTTATATATCACCAATGGTTTAACTAATTAAATAGTGTTGCTTAATTGCCAATCTTTGCTACTCAAGAGTAACCTCAGATATTTTCTTCCTCAAATGATTTTGGTAGGAAAAGTATTTGAAGAGGAACATTCAAAGCTCCGACTAGATAAGGAACCCCTGCAAGAATTAAGGAAGGAATGCACAGCCAAGAGGTAAAGGGACTCTTAAAATGGGTTGGAAGGGGGCAGGGAGATTTGCCTATATTCTGCTTGTTCATATACAGTTATCCTAAAGCAGTGGTTCTCAACCTTTTTAATGCCGTGACCCCCCAACCGGTCGTAAGTCGAGGACTACTCAACTGGTCGTAAGTCGAGGACTACTCAACTGGTGCAGCACCGTTTGCAGAATGGGACTTTTGGCGGGCTCAGCAGGGCAGAGACAGCCTGGACAATTCCTATTGGCTTTTGAAAGCCAATAGAATTAGACTCTATTCAAGAGAGTCTATTCTATTGGCTTTCAAAAGCCAATAGAATAAAAGGGAGTAGCACAGCTAAGGAAAAGGGGGAAAAAATGGCGGACTGCGTTGTTTGGCGACCCCCGTGAAATGGTCGTTCGACCCCAAATGGGGTCCCGACCCACAGGTTGAGAACCACTGGCCTAAAGGATATTTAAATCTGACTGTTCTTTGGAAGGACAGATATTGAAGCTGAAACTCAAATACATGGGCCCCTAAATGAGAAGAGAGGACTCCTTGGAAAAGATTCTGATGTTGGGAAAGAGGGAAGGTAAAAGGGGGGTGAGATGCTTAGACAGAGTTAATTAGATAAACTGATTAGTCGCTGCGAAAATTAGGTGTTCATCCCTCTGCTGAACAATTCCTGCAGCTGACAAAATACAGTGACTACTGCGGGTTTTTTTTAATCTAACATGTATATATATTAACCCATGTTGTGTGGCTGCAATATTATTTATTATTTTACTTTATTGGCTCTTCTTCTTCTTCTTCCTCTTCCTCTTCTTTTTCTTCTTCTTCTTCTTCTCCTCTCTTCTCTCTCCTCCTCCTCTTCTTCTCCTCCTTCTCCTTCTCCTGCTCCCTTCTTCTTCTTCTTCTTCTTCTTCTTCTTCTTCTTCTTCTTCTTCTTCTTCTTCTTCTTCCTCTTCCTCTTCTTTTTCTTCTTCTTCTCCTCTCTTCTCTCTCCTCCTCCTCCTCTTCTTCTTCTCCTCCTTCTCCTGCTCCCTTCTTCTTCTTCTTCTTCTTCTTCCTCTTCTTCTTCTCCTTCTCCTCCCCTTCCTCCTCCTCCTGCTCCTCCTCCTGCTCCTCCTCCTGCTCCTCTTCTTCTTCTTCTTCTTCTTCTTCTTCATTATTATTCGCATAGTCAGCCAGATGTTCAGACTGGATTTGGCATTTTTGTCTACCTATCGAGTCCTTACCAAGGACCTGGGATAGGCAGATCTGGATGTTTGATGGTATTACAGATATCGTCGCAGGATGGAAGCAGTTCCTAGTAAGGCCTCCTTTTGCAATTGACTAATGGCGAATTTGTCAATGCCAATGGTGTTCAAGTGGTGCTCCAGTTGTTTTGGGATCGCACCCAAGACGCCTGTGACTATTGGTACTACCCTTGCTTGCCTTTGCCACAGTCTTTCTATTTCTATTTGTAGGTCTTTGTATTTTGTTATCTCCTCCAGTTCTCCTCCTCCTCCTCCTCTTGCTGTTATTATTATTATTTTCTGTTGTTTTGCAAGTCCACTGAATGCTTCAGTACTGGAAACAAATTGCTTGTGTGTCTAGTCACCCTTGGCCAAATAAATGAAGTAAATAGACAGTGTCATTGATGCAGTGGACATAGGTTTGAGTGGACCCAGGGAGATAGTGGAGGACGGGGGGGGGCTGGTGTTCTGGGGTCCTTGGGGTCATGGGGAGTTGGGCATGATGTCAACGCTGCTAATATTAGTGTTTCATTAGTCGGAACTATGACACATGACTTGGTGGCTGAAAACAATAACAACAACATGTATAGTTAGTGGCCAATTCTCCTGTCACAAGAGCTAAAGAATACCTGCTGATCGAAAGCTAAAGGGGAAGGGTGGCCCAGGATCTTAAGAAATACCCATGAAGTACCAAGAATTGTAAATTGGACACCGATGTTACAAATTAAAGTATTGAAATCCCTCATTTGCGGCGAAGGAAGGCGTTTAGACAGAAACAGTGGCTGATTTTTGTGTTTATCATTTTCCTGTGAAGTTTCCTTTATACCAGGGGTAGGCAACCTTGGCTCTTTTATGACTCGTGGACTTCAACTCCCAGAATTCCTGAGCCAGCACGGGGGAACTATGGCCCCTTCATGATTTGTGGACTTCAACTCCCAGAATTCCTGAGCCAGCATGGGGGAACTTTGGCCCCTTCATGACTAGTGGACTTCAATTACCAGAATTCCTCAGCCAGCATGGGGGAACTATGGTCCCTTCATGACTCATGGACTTCAACTCCCAGAATTCCTGAGCCAGCATGGGGGCACTAAGGCCCCTTCATGACTCGTGGACTTCAACTCCCAGAATTCCTGAGCCAGCACGGGGGACCTATGGTCCCTTCATGACTTGTGGACTTCAACTCCCAGAATTCCTCAGCCAGCATGGGGAAACTTTGGCTCCTTCATGACTTGTGGACTTCAACTCCCAGAATTCCTGAGCCAGCATGGAAACCTCTCCATTTTTCCCTCAGCATGGCTGGCTCAGGAATTCTGGGAGTTGAAGTCCACCAGTCATAAAAGAGCCAAGGTTGCCTATCCCTGTCTGTACTGTACCTCAGCGGCTTCCAACCTTTTCTATACCCCACACCCCCTGGAACGCTTCTGATATATTCTCGCGCCCTTTACAAACGTTCGAAATAACAGCCACCAATTATGCAAATACACTATAGTTTTGAAAACCCAAGTTTTCGCACCTCTTGGAATATCGTCTCGCACCCCCGGTTTGGAACCCCCTGCTGTACCTTAACAATACTTTTTCAAGAAGTCCTCGTTGTTATTTTTGTTTTTCTTTAAAATTTTCTTGTATTTGAGTTAAAGTATTTTATGGATTTGGTTATTGGTATAGTTGGATAAGCTTAGTTAGAATTTGTTCGCTTATTTGTAACCCTGTAATCAGCTCTGGGAAGTGAGGGGGGGGTTAGGGTTGGGGGGGAGGGAGGGAGGGATATTGTATTGTAATAATTTGTATAAAACTTTTCAATTAAAAAAAAGAAAGAAGAAGTCCTGATGGTGGGAACAATTTCCAGAAATGAACACTTTTTGTTACTTAGTTGGACATTCTTCCTTACGCATCCCTTCCGCCCAGATAAATTCATCTGTGGAGTTTCTTCTATGAACCAGATCCTCAGATAAAACTTGCCAAGCCATCGTGTTTTTTTTTTTCCCTAATGGCCTGTCAGCGTATTACACAGGAAATGTATCCTTGTTAAAGTTAGCCATTTTAGTCAGCTACACCGGGACTTTAAAAGCTAACAATGCTGCACTTCTCTCAGCGGGGCAGAACCAGTAATTTCTCAGAATGAGGGTGTCGACAGCTCCTTCAGGAAGCCATGGTTGCACCATTGACCGGTTTCTGTCTCCTTCCCTAGAGAGCAAGTCTTGAAAACCAACGCTCAGCTGACGATCCGATGTAGGCAATTGCTATCAGAGCTTTCCTGTATTTATCCTATTGATACGGTGAGTGATGGATTCTCTAAGAATGGCCGGTTCAGGAGTTGAGTTAAGTGTCCGGCTTTTGCCTTGGAGAAGGGGCTGAACTTCAGTTATCCTAAACATTAACTATCTATGAACAAAAGTGACCTTAGCTTAAGCATCTGTGTATTTCCAGATTCAATCCTGGGTTCTTAAATTCAGAGGGGTGACAGGGCTGGGAGAGGCCAGTACACTTGGCAGTCATGTACTATATAAAGTGGGAGAGGCAATCTATAAATTTAACAAATTTTAGGTAGGTAGGTAGGTAGGTAGGTACGTAGATAGATAGATAGATAGATAGATAGATAGATAGATAGATAGATAGATAGATAGATAGATAGATAGATAGATAGATAGATAGATAGATAATGGAGGTAGGTAGGTAGATAGATAGATAGATAGATAGATAGATAGATAGATAGATAGATAGATAGATAGATGATAGATAGATAGATAGATAGATAGATAGATAGATAGATAGATAGATAGATAATGGAGGTAGGTAGGTAGGTAGGTAGGTAGGTAGGTAGATAGATAGATAGATAGATAGATAGATAGATAGATAGATAGATAGATAGATAGATAGATGGATGATAGATAGATAGATAGATAGATAGATAGATAGATAGACAGACAGACAGACAGATAGATAGATAGATAGATAGATAGATAGATAGATAGATAGATAGATAGATAGATAATGGAGGTAGGTAGGTAGGTAGGTAGGTAGATAGATAGATAGATAGATAGATAGATAGATAGATAGATAGATAGATAATGGAGGTAGGTAGGTAGGTAGATAGATAGATAGATAGATAGATAGATAGATAGATAGATAGATAGATAGATAGATAGATAGATAGATAGATAGATAGATAGATAGATAGATAGATAATGGAGGTAGGTAGATAGATAGACAGACAGACAGACAGACAGACAGACAGACAGACAGACAGACAGACAGACAGATAGATAGATAGATAGATAGATAGATAGATAGATAGTAGGTAGGTAGGTAGATAGATATAGAGAGATAGGTCGATAGATGGTAGGTAGGTAGGTAAATGATGGTAGATAGATAGATAGATAGATAGATAGATAGATAGATAGATAGATAGATAGATAGATAGATAGATGGTAGGTAGGTAGGTAGATAGATAGATAGATAGATAGATAGATAGATAGATAGATAGTCAGGTAAGTAGATGATGGATGGTAGGTAGGTAGGTAGGTAGGTAGGTAGATAGATAGATAGATAGATAGATAGATAGATAGATAGATAGATAGATAGATAGTAAGGTAGGTAGATGATGGTTGGTAGGTAGGTAGGTAGGTAGGTAGATAGATAGATAGATAGATAGATAGATAGATAGATAGATAGATAGATAGATAGACAGACTGACAGATAGATAGATAGATAGTAGGTAGGTAGATAAATATAGAGAGATAGGTCGATAGATGGTAGGTAGGTAGGTAAATGATGGTAGGTAGATAGATAGATAGATAGATAGATAGATAGATAGATAGATAGATAGATAGATAGATAGATAGATAGATGGTAGGTAGGTAGATAGATAGATAGATAGATAGATAGATAGATAGATAGATAGATAGATAGATAGATAGATAGATACATAGATAGTCAGGTAAGTAGATGATGGATGGTAGGTAGGTAGGTAGATAGATAGTAAGGTAGGTAGATGATGGTTGGTAGGTAGGTAGGTAGGTAGATAGATAGATAGATAGATAGATAGATAGATAGATAGATAGATAGATAGATAGATAGATAGATAGATAATGGAGGTAGGTAGGTAGGTAAGTAGGTAGGTAGGTAGGTAGGTAGGTAGGTAGATGATGGATAGATGGATAGTAGATAGGCAGGCAGATAGACAGACAGATGCATGCATGCGATGGCTCAGTGGTTAAAGATGCTGGGCTTATGAAGTTTGAGACCCGAGTGCTGCTCAATGGGGTGAGCTCCCATTCCTTGCCTCAGCTCCTGCCCCCCTAGCAGTTTGAAAGCAAGTAAGCGTGAGTAGATAAACAGGTAACATTTTGTTGGGAAGGTCACAGTGTTCCATGAGCCATGCTGCCCCCATGACCACGGAAGCATCTTCAGACAATGCTTGCTCCCTCGGCTAGGAAACGGAGTCACCCCCAGAGCCAGACAGGGGAAGCTACTTTACACACATATATCCATGCGTGTATATAGGCATGTACACTAAGTATGTTAGCTTGCTATCAGAATCGGGAGTTTTATCAGCAAACGTGGCCCGGATGCAACCTCTCTTTTCTACTCTTCACAGAACGATCAAGAGGATTATTTTATTTGCGGAGTGAAGTTGCCCAATTCTGAAAACTTTCAAGGTAACTGGCTCATTTACCTGCTCATTTTGTTATCTAATTGCACTGTGCAGCATGCCAATGGAATAGCTCAGGCCTCCATTCCCCCCTTTCCCCCCCCCCACTCCACCCAAATCAGTTGGGTTAAAAATGTGGGGTTTTTTTTGTTCTTGTTGTTAGTAATAGTAATAAAGTTGGAACGGACCTTGGAGGTCATCTAGTCCAACCCCCTGCTCAGGCAGGAAACCCTACACCATTTCGGACAAATGGCTGTCCAGTCTCTTCCTAAAAACTTCCAGTGTTGGAGCATTCACCGCTTCTGGAGGCAGGTGGTTCCACTGATTAATTGTTCTCACTGTCAGAAAGTTTCTCCTTAGTTCTAGGTTGCTTCTCTCCTTGATGAGTTACCATCCGTTGCTTCTTGTCCTGCCTTCAGGCGCTTTGGAGAAGAGCTTGACTCCCTCTTCTTTGGGGGCAGCCCCCCAAAGAGCGAAGAAACAATGCAAAACAATTTGCATGATCTTAGCTTTTTTATATAGCACGTTGATGAATTGGACTTGAGCAAAAGGGAGATGATATAGCGGAGGGAAAGGAAGTTGTTTTAATCGTTCTCAACGGCTGGATTTTTTTTTTTTTTTTAAGGTTGCTATTTGATAGCGCTTGTGAGGCTGTTAATATTTTGACAAACTCATGCATGGTCCCACAGTTGTGCCACAGTGTGGCTAAACATTTTGGGGAGGAGAAGGAAATAAATTGCATTGATGGCGTCACTTTCATCTTTTTATTTTGAAGAAGGGAGAAATTAAATGAAAAGAAGGAAGCTATGGAAAACATAGATTGGAACCGCAGAGGATAAAGTTAATCCATAAAAGTCAAAAGGCTTGGAAGTAAAGAAATAGGGTTTTTTTTTCCCTCTCCTCCCCTCTTTCACTAGACCTTATTTTTTTAATGGAATATTTCTTTTCATAAGGTTCCTCTGTTGTCTCTTGTCGCTAAAAACCTTGGCACGAATTTATACCAGTAAAAATACCGATGTTTTATGTGTGCCTTAAGGTTTTGCCTCAGAAAATGTTTTCTAGACAGAGAACCCGATAAGTTAGTTCCTCCGCTTCCTTCTACCTTCCATAAATCTGAGTTTTCTGTATAGAAAAAAAAAGGAAGGGTAGAAGAAGGAAGGGAAGGACTGAGATGTTCCAAGGAAGATTTAAGGCTGCACCAGTTGAGTAGTCCTCGACTTACGACCGGTTGAGTAGTCCTCGACTTACGGCTGGTTGGGGGTCGCATCATTAAAAAGGGTGAGAACCACTGATTTAAGGAGACTGTGAGCTAGCAGGGGCTACGGCCTTGGGGAGGGGGCTGCTGTTTTGGCCATGAAGGATGGTCTCCCTGGACAAGAGGTATTTTGGGAAAGGCGTTACACGAAAGGGTTCACTTTGAGTGAAATTAAAAGCAGTGGCAAGGCATGAAAATTGCCATTTGAAATCCCTTTTTTTATTCAGCTCAACTTCTTTTTTCCATTGACACTTTCTGTTTTGATATCCGTACCTTAATTAAGACAATTTGGTGTGGTGGAGAAGGCATCAGACTAGAAACCAGGAGTTTGTGAGTTCTAGTTCTGGTTTAGGCTTGAGTGAAAGTCAGCTGGGTGACCTTGGGCCTCTCACTAAGAGAGCGTGAGTTCTAGTCCTGACCTAGGCATGTAAGCTGGCAGGGTGAATGTCGGCCAATCACTAGGAGACTGTGAGTTCTAATCCCAGTCAAGGAACTATACCAGGGGTAGGCAACCGTGGCTCTTTTATGACTCATGGACTTCAACTCCCAGAATTCCTGAGCCAGCATGGGGGAACTATGGCCCCTTCATGACTCATGGACTTCAACTCCCAGAATTCCTGAGCCAGCATGGGGGAACTATGGCTCCCTCATGACTTGTGGACTTCAACTCCCAGAATTCCTCAGCCAGCATGGGGGAACCATGGCTCCCTCATGACTTGGGGACTTCAACTCCCAGAATTCCTCAGCCACATGGGGGAACCATGGCTCCCTCATGACTTGGGGACTTCAACTCCCAGAATTCCTCAGCCACATGGGGGAACTATGGCTCCTTCATGACATGTGGACTTCAACTCCCAGAATTCCTCAGCCACATGGGGGAACCATGGCTCCCTCATGACTGGTGGACTTCAACTCCCAGAATTCCTGAGCCACCATGCTGGCTCAGGAATTCTGGGAGTTGAAGTCCACATGTCATAAAAGAGCCGAGGTTGCCTACCCCTGAACTAAACAGTTGGCTGACTTGAAAGACAGTCACTTCCTCTCAGCCCTCGGAAGCAAACTGACCACTTCCAAAATCTTGCCAGGAAAACTGCAGGGATTTCTCCAGGCAGACCCCTGGAGGAGTCAGCTGGGACTTGGAAAGCGCACAAATGCAATATAAATTCTTCAATTAAAAACGAACCGCCCCAAAATCTGGAGAGGGCAACTAAGTCTTAAAGCTTAAATTGGTCTTGTTTGCACCTTACAGCGAAGGATGACGGGAGCATAGCCGTCGCTCTGGGCTACACGGCTCACCTGGTCTCTATGATCTCCTACTTCCTGGAAGTACCACTCAGGTATCCAATCATTCACAAGGGCTCCCGCTCGGCAATCAAAGATAACATTAATGACAAACTGACCGAGAAGGAGAGAGAGTAAGTATTTTTCTAACTCTTTTGTGGGGGGGGGGGGAAGAGGAAACAGGACATATTTAGTTAAAAGGATAGTATGGTTGTTTTTTTTTTGCTTAAAGCTAGTCCTTGACTTAACGACCGCAATTTTGGACCAGAATCTCCGTCATAAACGAGGCGGTTGTTAAATGAGTTATGAGGCCGTTAAGCGGACCTGCCTCCCCCCCCCCCCCCCGTTGACTTTGCTGGTTGGAAGCCAGTTGGGGAAAAAATTGCAGATGGAGATTACATGATGCCCCCTCTTCCTCTCTCCCCCCCAGGGAGTCATTAAGCGAGTCGTGCCTGATTTTTATGACCTTTTTGTGCCAGATCACTGCTGCCATTAAGTGAATCACGCAGTCCTTAAGCGAGTCTGGTTTGCCCCCATTGACTTCAACTTGTTGGAAGCCAGTTGGGAAGGCTGCAAGGGGCAGTCACATGATTTCCCCCCCCCCCAGGATGCTGCATCCATTTTAAATACGCGCTGGTTGCCAGGCTCCCCAAGTTTGGTCACGTGGCAGTTGGAATGCTACGACGGTCATACGTGCGAGGACTGGTTGCGAGTCACATTTTTTTTAGTACTGTTGTAACTTCGAATAGTCCCTAAATAGCTGTAAGTTGAGGACTCCCTATATGTCCCTCTTTCTGTCGCTAAGCGAGACAGTCATTACGATCTTTCTTCCCAAGGTTGTTAAGTGAATCACTGCAGTCGTTAAGTTAGTTAACAAGGTGGTTAAGGGTATCTGGCTTCCCCCATTGACTTTACTTGTCAGAAGGTCGCAAAAGGGGGTCACATGACCCTGTATACCAGTGATGGCGAACCTTTTAGAGACCGAGTGCCCAAACTGCAACCCCAAATCCACTTATCCATCGTCGGGTGCCGGATGGGTGTGGCCCATTGGCTGGGCGTGGCCCCTTGGGTGGGCGTGGCTACATGGGAACGGCAGACTGGGTGGGACTAAAAAGTTCAGTCAATCAATTCCAACTTTGCAAGATCTTTTTTTTTCCCCGCGAGAAGTTGAAATTGACTGATTGATTGAACCTTTTTTTTTTTTTTTTTTGCGCACGGTGGCAGAAGCCTAAAGCAAAAGGGTTGTATAAAACCCAGCTGAAGGCCTAGGACTGGGGTGATGGCGCCCGTGCCCACAGAGAGGGCTCTGAGTGCCGCCTCTGGCACCCGTGCCATAGGGTCGCCACCACTGATCTATACCGTCGTAAATACAAGTCAGTTGCCAAGCATCTGAATTTTGATTACGTGATCACAGGAATGCTGCAACGGTCGTAAGTGTGACAAACGGTCCTAAGTCCCTTTTTTCAGCGCCGTTGTAACTTTGAACGGTCACTAAGTGAACGGTTGTAAGGCGAGAACTACCTGTAGTCCGCATGGGAGGTGACCAGGACAGGAGTGACTAAAGTCTCCCCAATTTAGGCACAGGAGCAACTGGTGTACAACCCAGAGTTACCGACATGAATGACGATTGAAAGCAGAAACGTTACTTAATCTGACCGTGTTCTTTTCACCTCCATTGATTTAATGCAGAATGAAGGCCAAGTAATTTCTCCATTGATTTAAATTGCTTTTATGTTAACTACATTGAAGGAAAATGCAGGGAAAATCCTAGGCTTCTGTTAATTAAGATTATAAAATCTCTGTGTATTTGGCAAGGGTAGCAGTATATTCTCACAGTAGTTCTGAATTTTTCTCAGGTGGAGAATTAATACGCTTCAACAGAATCTGCTCACGTATTCTATATCCAAGTAAAACTAACATCTCTGTGTCCCGAAGGTGCTTTTCGTGACTGAGAATCTCCATAGACATTTAACATCTCTTAATTTCAGTATGTAAAACTTCCGTAATCTAAACAGTAACTAAACAGTATCAGCCCCTCTGATCAGGAAGTAGAATGATTTTCAAGCAAGTCCAGATTTGGCACTTTTAGCTCCTTCTGACTTTAGTGACCTGCCAAGGATGACACATGTCAGCTAATTCCAATCTCTCGTAGACTTGAAATAAACCCATTCTTGGTCTTGGTGGATAATTAGACCCGCTGACTGAGATTCAGAAATTGTAATTGATCTGATTTGCGGGTATGCCTTTAGAGCTAAAAGCTTGTTCTAAGAAAAGCCGATGGCGTATTTTTTGAAAGCCATCTTAATTTATTGAACAGTGTCTTGTTCCTTTCCTCTGGTTGATTTGTCAAACTTTTATGCCACCCACCTGGCCAAAGGTGATTCCAGGTGACTAATAGCTTGTTGTTGTTGTTGTTAATAATAATAATAATGTTGGAAGGGACCTTGGAGGTCATCTAGTCCAACCCCCTGCTCAGGCAGGAAACCGTATACCATTTCAGACAAATGGCTGTCCAGCCTCTTCTTAAAAACGCCCAGTGTTGGAGCATTCACCGCTTCTGGAGGCAGGTTGTTCCACTGGTTAATTGTTCTAACTTAGTCTTATATCTCAAGAGTCCAAGCCATGTGTTAATTGCTCTAACTGTCAGGAAATTTCTCCTTAGTTCTAGGTTGCTTCTCTCCTTGGTTAGTTTCCCTCCGTTGCTTCTTGTCCTGCCTTCAGGCGCTTTGGAGAATAGCTTAACTCCCTCTTCTTTGGGGCAAACCCTGAGATACTGGAACGCTGCTATCATGTCCCCCCTCATCCTTCTCTTCATTAAACTAGACATACCCAATTCCAGCAACCGTTCCTTATATGTTTTAGCCTCCAGACCTCTAATCATCTTTGTTGCTCTTCTCTGTATTCTTTCTAGAGTCTCAACATCTTTTTTTTTGATTGCTTGTTTTGTTGGGGATAGTTATTCTCCAAGAAGACCTCATGCATCATGCTGATCCCTGGAGGTCAGCGCCTGCAGCTCAGTTGCATCCCCACATTGAAGGCAACTGCAGCTTCGCCATGTTGGCGTACGGGCCTGAAGCAAAGCTCTGAGGCCTTGTGAAACAGAATAACAAAGTTGGAAGGGACCTTGGAGGTCTTCTAGTCCAACCCCCTGCTCAAGCAGGAGACCGTATACCATTTCAGACAAAGGGCTGTCCAGTCTCTTCTTAAAAACTTCCAGTGTTGGAGCATTCACCGCTTCTGGAGGCAGGTTGTTCCACTGGTTAATTGTTCTAACTGTCAGGAAGTTTTTCCTTTGTTCCAGGTTGCTTCTCTCCTTGGTTAGTTTCCATCCGTTGCTTCTTGTCCTGCCTTCAGGTGCTTTGGAGAAGAGCTTGACTCCCCCTTCTTTGTGACTTCCAACAGTGTTGAAGCCATAGGAAACACAAGGCCTTTGGGAGTAGGTAGAGAAGTCTAAATAGTAGTCAGTAAAACACGGTTTGTTTTTAAAGCGGAGAATTAAAACCCCTTCAGGTTTTAATTATGGGACTAAATATGGGACTAAAAAGTTCCACTTAGTTTATGAGTAAATCTTAGAGTATTATTAATAGTTTATTATAGTGGAATATTATTATTATTTTAGTATTAGTATTGTTTAACAATTTGGATATTGTATTGTTTAATAATTAGTTTAATAATTAGGATATTATGTTTGTTTATGTTTTTATTATTATTATGTTTGCTTTAATTTGTTTATATTTATGCTAAAGGGGAGTTAAAGCGCATTATGGACTTGGTTATTGATATAGTTGGTTAATGTTAGTTAGATTATGATTATTATAATTGTAACCCTGTATTCAGCTCTGGGAAGTGGGGGAGGGAGAGGGGGAGTTTAAGGTGGGTTGGTTTTGGGGTTTATATTGTAACTTTTATAAAACTCTTCAATAAAAAAAAAAAAAACCCTTCAGGTTTCTGCCAAGACCTCCTTGGTTGAAATAAAGTTTACTATCTCACGCTCACATAGGACAGTAAAGCAACTGAGAATTAAAGAAAAAAAAAAGATACAGTATATTTTCAAACATGGAACCTATTCTATCAGTGGCTGGAAAAACAGGATAGAGTGTAAGAACTTAACTGGTATTACTAAATATAATAAACTAACCCAGACAACACCTTCATTAAGCATTAAGGAATGGTAATAACAGAAAATTAATAAAATATTCTATATGTATGTATAAAAAAAGGATGGCAAAGCAGCTGCTTCTGATTTCCCAATTCCAAAAGCTGCTTTGCACAAGTGTGCCAAAATGTTTTTAGCAGGAACATTCACCAGATGTGCTGTCGTTTGCTATTTATTCCATCATGCAGTCAGGTGTAACACAAATGAAGGCGAATATGGGTGTCCCAAGATAACGTTGCAGGATCCAATCTGGGTCAGTGACCGGAACCAACGGTTCGGTTTTCTAAGCTTTCCCTGAGATTGGACTCCAGCACAAAGTCCAAAAGCTTTGAAGACCTAAACCTATGGTCCCGGCCACTGACTCAGATTGGATCCTGCATCAGGCGTAAGTAACACTTTAAGGCAGAGGTCTTCAAACTTGGCCCTTTTATGACTGGTGGACTTCAACTCCCAGAATTCCTCAGCCAGGCACACGTGCCTGGCTGAGGAATTCTGGGCGTTGAAGTCCACCAGTCATAAAAGGGCCGAGTTTGTAGACCCGTGCTTTAAGGTGTTTTGCAAATTCAGCACATCACACACAAGGATTTGACCTGAATACTTAATCTTTGGCTGTTTTTTTTTCCTAAGTATTGGAAGAATGTATGTATGTATGTATATGTAGGTTTTGGTTATTCGGGTTTTCTCCCGCGTAAAATTGGAAGTGTCTTGGCGACGTTTCGATTCGACACTTCCAATTTTACGCGGGAGAAAACCCGAATAACCAAAGACCTACATACAAATACCCGCGGAAACCTCAGAAAACAAATACAAACACACAAACACACACAGAGAGAGAGAGAGAGAGAGAGAGAGAGAGAGAGAGAGAGAGAGAGAATAAAAAGAAGGGAATGTTTGGAAGCAGTGCTATATGGGACGCTGTCAATAGTTTTTCCATCAACTAGCGAATTATTGTCAAGCGCAAAGGATCGAGATCCTCCG